CATTTAAATTTCTTTGATTACCTTTTTTGCCAATTACTGGTTCTTCCAGGGCCACTATATTTGGCCTCATTTAACTGAACATTTCAGTAAGTGCATCTACTGAAAATGGCTTTTGACTCTGTGCGACAATTTGAGTCTTTTCTCCATCTTGAACCACCCTGACAGGTCCATAATTTCTTTCGTACATGAATCTTTCCACTGAGTTTACTTCTGTGACAAAGGGTTTATGGTCGGCCTACACTACTTCTGCTTCGCCCTTGTCATTCCAGAAAACCAAGCATTGGTGGAGCGTTGAAGGTATGCAACGAATTCCGTGGATCCAGTCCCTTTCTAGTAGCACATTGTAACTAGTAGGACTATCTATTACAAAGAAGGTTGTGGTCTTAGTAGTTGTCCCCACGGTTATGTCCAGTGACATTAACCCTTTAGCCGAAGTTTCTCCTCCGTTAAAGCTTGCGAGAATAACTTCCGTTGGGATCATATCGCTTTCTGTCTTTGCAAATTTCTTCATCATCCTAGAAGGGATGATATTTATAGCTGTTCCATTATCAATGAGCACTTTCGCCACAGGTATACCATTGACTAAAGCCTTCACGTACAATGGCCTCAAATGCTTAGTCAATTTCATGGTTGATCTTTTGAAGATGACCTTTTCAGCTGCATCTATTTCTACTTCCTGTTTGTCTTCTGTTGAATCATCTCTTTATGATAAGTTAACATGCAATATTTCGCATCGAGTTTCTGCTTCTTGGATTTCTTTTTGACTTTCTTCTAGTGTTTCTTCTTCGATTACCCATCCTGTAGGGGAAGGCAATATTCTTGAAGGTGACTCATACTTCTCAGAGCGAGGTACTCTCCTTTTCCTTTTAGGTGCCCTATACAACACATAGTAATCAAAGGAACGCCCAGATGGTTCTCCCAACAAGTCCACCTCACGAACACATTCTCGATGTAGTTGTTTCAACAACGTATTACGCGACACTCTCCTCTTTCTTCTCTCTGCTTCCAAGTCAATTTTTTCTTCGATATCTGTTATACCATCATTCTCTTCTTCATCATATGCCCCTCGAGATGTTTGGCCATCTTTACATTCCAGCATACATGCTTCCTCCTCGTTATCCTCAATTTCTTCCTCTTCATTTTCTTTGT